TTATTTGGATTTAAATATTAAGAAAGAATCTCCGCGTTTGGTTTGCAGGAACTGAACGAATCGAGGGTGGAGCTCCTTACCAGAATCCAAGGCTTGAAACAGGTCAAGTTTTGATCTTTCTCTTCGAAATTATATATGATTTGACTTGAATTGACTAGGGCTAGACATTGATGGGGGAAGTTCTGTTTTGTTTGCGTGTTTGTGGTTTTTCAGGACTTGCATACTTGGAGATCTAAGCTAGACACTCAAATCAAAGTGTACCGTGAGGTAACAAACATCCATTGCCTCCTCCGCTCTATTAACTTAACCCATATCGTTTTCGGGTTGGTACTTCTAGTTGGTGAACTTGGAGGTTGAAAGAGGTTGTGAATTAGATTAGATGATGCAGCAGGCCACTTGAGGAGTTCAACATTGCCTTCTGTCAGTTGAGTACATTGTGCTTCTATAGCAAGATTGTCATGTTCTTGGGGTTTGCCAAAGGCTAATGCGAGTTAGCTTTGTTGTTATGTTCATACCGAGTTCTTATGCTGTGTCCCAATCTAGTTGACTGACATTTGGCCATGCTGTTACTAGTTGATCCCCAGCTTTGCTTAAAACATTGCTAGTGTTCTACCAAAGAAGTAATCTTTCCTTTCAGCAACCCAAGTTATTTGGTGTGGTTTAGGTTGAGATTTTGCATCAAGAAGTCATAATAATCAATAACCAGCAGCACTCTTACCTTTTGGAGCAAAAGGGATTCACTTGCTATCTTATGTGTTCCTGCTGTCGTTTGTTACGATTTGAATCCATCTTCCTATTGCTTGCTTATTACATTCGATGTTGCTAGTTGTTTGAAGTAGGATATTTTCGCGTTTGCAGGAATTAACGGAAGTGAAGAAGTCGTTGAATGATGAGGTGGAGCAACTACGATTGGTTAGTATTACTGCTACACAACTTCTCCTCGCATGTTACAACAACTATATTGCTTTCTTTCTGTTCAAGTAATAATTTATTTCAATCCAAATCCCAAAAAAAACAACAACAGGAGTTCAAAGAACTCAGAACTACACTTCAGCAGCAACAAGATGACATCTCTTCTAGCATGAAGAACTTGGGGGTAGGTGTCCATGCAAACTCTCCTTTTCCCTTTCCTTCATTTAGCTGACATAATCGAACCTTAAGAACCTGATGCATAAACTGGGTGTGTGCAGCCTGTGGATGGGGGAGAGGATGAAGTTAAAGAGGCGAAACACTCGGAGGCAGATGTGCAACAAGAAGATGAAGCGAAAGTCTTAACTGTCGAGGAAGAGCCTAGTTCAGCCTAACACAGCCATTTGCAGTCCCTTGGAGAAGAAGCCTTTTCTTTTCCGAGTCCATCCCGGTGCAATCTATTGAAGTACTCCAAAGAAATATGTAACAGTGTAGTTGTAAAATCAGCCCAGGAGGGGGCAGACAACTTGTAATACTTATCTTCTATTGGATTCTTGTCCTGCAACAATGTCGGTTTCCTTTTGACTTCATCGTTGCGACTATGAACCACTTCAACCTGCTCCATTCCTTCTAGACGAGAACGAATCACTGCAATTGTTGCAGCACAGCTGAAAGCACTATCAGCAGAGGAAACTAAACTATCAGTTTGATATTGTCATATTGAAATTTGATATTGAGTTGACTATAGGGTTAACACTGCCATTTTAACCTAATCCATCCAACTTGGTGAGAGAAAAAAATGGTAACCATTCAATTTGCTCAACCTCCATTCATTTATTACCCCACCATTATTATCTTTTCACCACACAGATATTGTGCTTGGTTGCTTGCTTCTCCAGTTCTCCCCCCACTTCCCCCTTACTGTTTGGCCATTAAATACCTTTCTCTAGTTCCCAAGAAACTGTTTTACGTGTAAGAATGCTCTATACTCTATAGGCACAGACTAGAGCGACAGAGAGAGACAGAGAGAGAAAGCCATGGCTAAGCTTCTTCTTCTTCTTCTTCTTCTTCTTTCTCAATCATGCCTCTCTATCCCATTGCTCCAAAAGGGGGCCTTAACTGTTGTTTACCATTCAAAGGAGACTGCTGATGATGATGATGAATTGACGATCCAGCGGTGAAGTAAATGGTATTCCACCCACCAAATCCACTTCATTCATTCATATTTCATTCATTCATGCTACCTCTGAAATAGAATGATGGCGCTCGAATGACATTTGGATCTATGCCTTATGTGTTAAGGAGTAGTGTATTAAAGGCTATCTCCCAACCCACCTTAGATTTTGGGTGCAACTGCCACTACCCATTATGTTCTCTGTTCTTTCCAAGAAACCATTTTCACCTCTTTCCCTATAATGGGATGGATTATTAATGTGAGATTTTTTTTTTTTTTCATCCAAAGGAGGCCGTGATCAAGAAAAAAAGATACAAGGGATTGGAGTAGAGGAGGGGGGAAGGATTGACCCGCCCGATAACGATCTAGACACGATTATATTTTGAAGTGTAAATACTAAATCGTGAAAATAAGTATTTAGATTATAGCCACGGATGAGGAGTTGCTGGCTTCCAACTTCGAAATCATTCGCGCGATATCGAATGAATTCCTAGAGTATTGACAGTAAATTGGACACTAAATACTTCTAAATCTTTCGGGGTTAATAAAAATGATTGTTTGTAACATTTGGACGACTTCTTCATCTTCAACACCTGCATTTGAAGAGATTTCTTGTTTTTGTTTGCTTGTGGTAAGTCGATAGTGATAGGACTCGTAAAAGAGATTTGCGTCTTCGTTATAGGAATCAGGTGACTTATTAAACATTAATTTCATTGTATACTCTGTTCTATGTAATTGTGATTCATTCATGTTTAGATAACTTGTAAATGATGACATTTCGGTCGAGTTGCAAGATTTTCCCTTTCATGCTTAATCTGGCCCGCTCATTGTACCGATTCGGTTCGCAATCGAACCGATATGAACTCGTAGCTACCACTAACCGGGCATCAACCCCATTAAATATTGTATGTCATTGTTAGTATTAATGGTGATGGACAACTGAATGCAGAAAAAAAGATTCACAGGGAATTTAAACCAGAGTGTTTACCCTATCTATATTAACTTCACAACCTCCTTATTTTCTCTCAGAAACACAACTATTTTCTAGAGAGAGAGAAGGGTTCTTCTGTGTTTCTTGTAATGGCAAGGAACACATCCTCTGTACAAGAAGAAGCTGCAACTCATGGCCTCCATTACAAAGTAACTCACTAACCTTACTCTTTCCTTTCTTCCCTCAATTTCGTCGTTGATGATTGAAAGAAACCCTCAACATTGTTTTTTCATTTCTTACATTTTCACAGACATGGGTGCTGAGAGTCTCCATCCACTGCCAAGGTTGCAAGAGGAAAGTCAGCAAAATCCTCTTAGCCATCCACGGTAAATTTCCCAATTCCGTTTCCCTCCTTCTTTTTTCAACCACGGTAGTTTTTTCCTTACCTTTTGTGACTGTTTTTATTTTATTTTGTTTTGTTTGAGCAGGTGTTTACACGGTAGCTGTAGATATGAAGAAACAGAGAGTCACCGTGACGGGAAACGTTGAAGCAGAGACATTGATCACGAAACTCTCAAACAAAGGGAAAAGGGCTTCGATTTGTGACAACGAATCCAAGAATTCTAAATCAAACCATGCAGGCAATCAAGAAGAAGAGAACAACAGCCAGAAGAAGCAGAAACAGAGTGAAAACAGGGGAGCCCATGAAGAAGAAGCATCAAAGGCAATGATGGCAACCATTCCAGACGAAAACTCGTCACCAAATAAACAAACCGTCGCTAAAGACTCTCCAGGTAACCTCTCTAGCGGCGAAAAGAAGCGGAGAGAGGGTAAAAATAAAACAGAGAAGGAGGGGGATCAAGTTAATGCCGATCCTAACTCTGCTAGTAGTAGCTCTGTTCCTCCGTTTTCTTCTGGTTACAATAGGTATCAACAAATGACGACGAATCAGGTTCTTCCGTCGCCATATCCGTATCCACCACCACAGCAGTATTTCTACTTCCCTGCTGCTGTGAATGCCGCTCCAAATCCTTACTCTCTCTACGCTCAGCAGCAAGCGAATCCATTTGGGTATCAGAGCCAGCTGCCTCCGCCGCAGCCGTCCATGGGGCTGGACTCTTCTCTGCAGATTTTTAGTGACGAGAATGTCAATGGATGCTCTGTTATGTAATGTAGTTCTGTAATCCGTGGCCGATTAGGATTTTGGTGGTGGGGTGGAGGAGATGTAACTCTTCAGGGTTTAGATGTGTTAGCTTTTGAGTTTTTGTGGGTGCGTTCTTGGTAAAGATGGCAAACTTTTGTGCTTCTATGATGGGCAAAATTGCAAACCCAATTTGCCCAATTGCAACTTGTTTGGTGATTTTGAGTTTTCAATGTTGTTTCTTATGGTTCATTGGTTCAAGATTGCACATAACTTCACCGGAGAAGAGATATAGTAAGACTTTATAGTAAAGGAATTATTTCAATGCTGTTGCTATATTTCATTGGATTTTATGTTACCTAAGTTGCTTGTGATGGCTCGCCGTCTCGCAAACATCACAATCGTCCAATTTATAATCAGATTGATCTTTACGAATAAGGATGCACTATAAGTTCGTGCGACTACAACATCCATGACCATCAGATAAACTATATTATTTTGTCTATAAATGTTGTACTTATATGGTCTCGGACAATAATACGAATATACGATAATGATAACATCCATCACGCTTCACATTCAAACATTTTGTCCTACCATCATCACAAATTCAAAACTATACCTATTATTTGTGATGTACTTAGTTAGTAAAGCTACGAACTTTGAAGATACTAAAAAAAATCTCAATTCTTGTTTTTGTACCTATTACAAATTATTCACCCAACTACAATCTGTTTTATTCTAATAAGTAATAACCGAAGCTATACATCAACTTATATAATTCCATTAAAATTCACAGATATGTCACTGAATTAATCTAACTAGTAATCATAATCACAAGCTAATTACGGGTTACTTATATTTTTTTTTACTATTCCGGGAGCATGAAGCTGAATGAAGCCCATCACCTCCTCCACGAGCTCCTCCACCGTACACGACGTCGTATCGACCACCAGCTTCGGCACCCCGCCCGCGTCGTACTCGTGGCACCCGCGGTACCCTTCGATCAGCCTCCGGAGATCTCGCCACGTGGACGGCTTGTGCGAGCTGGCGCCCTCCTCACCGCCACGTTGCTCGAGCCGCTCTCTCCACAGGGCTTCATCCGACGGCCTGCACTCCACGATCAGCAGCCGGGCCCCGCCAGCAGCAGATCCCGCCACGTGGATCAAACGGTCGAGGTGGGCCCTGCGTGAGAGCGGCGAGTCGACGACCACGCTGAGCCCGAGCTGGAGCTGAGTCGACGCGACTCGCCAAACGACGTCGTATGAGAGGTCGTTGGGGACGGCGGAGTCGCGGACGTCGTCCTTGTCGATGAGTGGGATTCTGAGGGCGGAGGCGAGGGAGCGGGCCAGCGTCGTCTTGCCGGTGCCGGGGTGGCCCTTCATCGCGACGATGATCGGCGGCGGCGACGGCGGCGGGGGAAGGGACGAGTTGACTGAGTGGTGGTCGGAATTGTTTCCCATGAATTTTTTTTTTTGGTAGTGGATGGAGAATTGGAGTTGAGCTAGATAGAGAGAGAGAGAGGATGGAAGAAGATGGAATGATGATTCGCTATTATGGTTAGAATCGAGACCGTGTTTTTGGCGTCCATTTGGATAAGGGACAAAGACGCACAGATTTGTCACTACGTTGGATATATGTATATATATCCAGCTCAGTTCATCTACGTGTTTGATGATGATTTTTCCCTTGTTTCTTCTTTCTTCTCCATGAGATATGAGATGTGTTTGGTGTAGGTCCAGAACATAGTCGAGCACTGGGCCGTATTTCATTAGAAAATTATATATCTTTAAAAGAAATTATACTTTTACGATATTAATTATAGAGGTTGATTTTTTAATATAGCGAATTCATCATTAATGGAGTCTACATCTATACCAATAGAATACTACTCTCTTTCCAAATAAAATAGTTGACCAATCATCGAGAAATTCATTGCTCATTTTGTTGCGCAAATCAATTTTCACCTGTTCCATTGTTGAAAAGGTTCTCTCCGTAGTAATTGTTGAAACGGACAATGTCAACACCAGACAAATCAATCAACTAATCAATTTGTATTGCGTGTCCATTCCTATTTTCACTGGTTGCTATAGTCATTTTTCAAGTGAACAAACCTCATAATTCTTTTATAATCGACAAACTCATGAGGACTACACTATCTCCGGATCTAGAGGGGTTGGGCCCTGGCCCGGGGTTGCCACCCCCTGGATCTGCCACTACGTGCAACATGCAGGGAAATTTTGATTGAGCTAGCTGATTTCAAAAGGTTTTTCTCGAATTTATGTATCTATTATTTGGTAAGCACGTAGTATTCATATTTGTGCAAATTTCAAACCCATATATAATGACTTTCGTTTAGAAAATTAATAGATAATATAAAATTCACATTTGAATATCTTCTAACAACTCGAATTACCGACACCAATTCTTTAAATGTTTGTGTGTTTACTTCCATGAAGCTTCTTTTTCTTGTTTTAGGCTTTTTTCCCATTTATCCTTGTTTTTTTCCCCCTATATTTGCAGGGTTTATCCCCTACTTCATCCTTTTGTTTTTTAGATGAAACCTTTTTAAGGATAGTAAAAAGGATAAGGATGAGGATAATGTCACTCCCATAACCCATCATGTAATTCCAAACTCCTATATTGTTCTTTAATTGACACCTTCTCTAATCCATCCATAATACCAACAAAGTTAGATAACTGAAGCAAAAGGTAAAAGCATTACTGAACAACTAAGCTTCCATTCAACATATGATAGAGAATTATATCATTAAACTAAACTTAAGAAAGGAGCCAATTTCCATGTGCTAATCAAAGAAATCATGGGAAGTAGGAGTCACTTGTGAACAAGAAAAAAAGAAACTTTAACCAGATTGTCTAGCTAAAAAGAGATATCACCTGCCCCTCTGCAAATTGTGATCAATGTATTAGGCATCCTGTCTTTCTACCAAAAAGTATCTAAGCAGAATGCATTGACAATGGCTTCCTGAAGAAGAGAACACAATGAACATACTTTCTGGCAATGACCTAATTCAAACAAGGGCTGCAGATAGTTTTAGGTTCCCACAATGGCTGGTCATGGATGATAGGGGGAAAGATTCTAAAAAGGTGGCTTTTCCTGGTGTTGCTTAGAGCTAATGGAAAACCAGTCAAATAGAAAGATCAGCCAAACCAAAAGGCCAGAAAAGCAATAGCCTTCTAGGCTTCCAACATTGCACATGGTGGGAATTCTCTAAAGCTTCTTCCCTTCCAAAAAGATCAAAAATGGTTTCCTGTATGTCTTTTATTCCAAAGAAACATTCATAGAGAAAGAAACCATTAAAACCCTGCAAAAATGTTCCCCTACTTATTTACAGAAGACTAATCTTAGGAGGCTTTTCATTGTCAACACATTGACAAAATGTACAGCACATCATAGAGTGACAACAGAAGCCCCTCATACAAACGTTGATGCCTTCAAGGTTCTCTGGTTTGTTCCAAGAATGACGACAATTATAGTGACATCGTCATGGTATTTCCTCCTCCTGCCAGCCGGGATGTTCATCAATTCCTCCATGCTAAAACCTGAAGAGGGGAAATAGATCGAATTGTTAAACCGCAATGGGAAAAAGAAAAATGAGACTTGTGGAAAGACGTATAGTGGAAATTCTTATTACCTGCACAAGCAGCAGCTCTCTTGACAAGCTGTTCCAACACAAACTTTGCTGGATCGCCAGAAGGGTTGCTAACCATAAAGGAACGGACAAGCTCCACTGCCTCCTCATTGGTGAAGAAATCGAAAAGGCCATCGCTTGCTACTATAACAAAGTGATCCGATTTCGATATTCTGTGCACATTCAAAGATGGTTCAGTGGAGACATACGGTGGGCTTACTAGGTTTCTGACACGGAGGATACCCATCAGAGCATCATTCAGCTTCTTCTGCAAAATTGAGAGGACAGCAAAAGTTAACCAATATGTCAATCCTTTAGAGCATTGTTACAAACAAAACCAAAAAACAAATTGGTATTGGAATTGAAAGCACAAACCGATTTCAGGTAACCAACTCCGAAAGCTCTAGTGACCTTCAATTTCCCCTTTACTTTGCCTCCAACTATAGTAGCAGGATCATCAGGATGCTCACTAATAACCCTAGCTCTCTCAAGGTCATTATCCACGGTGTGGCAATCACTTAGCTGGACAGCCTTTAACCGCTTATTATGGTCTTCATCATATGTTGCCAATACAGCTCTGCTATCACCTAAGTTCAAGGTATACAAATCCATCCCATGAAGAAGAACAACCAACACACAAGACCCCACCGAGACAAGATCTGGTCTATCCTCCATTTCATGCTCTACCATGTACAGGAAATCATTCTCAGCCTTGGCAACTGCACGTTGTAGGCTATCAAGTACCTTGTCTCTGAAGGAATCTCCAGAATCATGGTTATCCCGAGTCCCAAGAGAAGCATCATTCCCTTCTTCAAGGGCACATCGAAGGAAGGCATCAGGGCATACATTCGAAGCCTTGACAACATCCTGATTTGAATCCCAGTCCAGCAAGTTAGTATGAAATATGATAGTTTCATACAATGTTCCAGCTAGAAAATCAGCAGCATCCCTTCCGTTGAATCCATCATAGATAGCACAGAACAGCCATCCATTTTCTTCAGAGCAAACAGCTTGAACTCTGTCTTCACCAGCAGCTCCACCAGCCACTTGAACTTCCATGGCGTTCAGAAAGCCTTCAGATTTTGAGGGTGCACTCATGGATTCATAGTCAAGTGGGCTTGGAGAAGATGGGCTGCAGCTCAAGTATGACCCGGTGCTTTGGAGAGAAGACGAGAGTATGTCGAGCTTGGAAAATGATGAAGATGAGGGGATCCTCCGGAAGGATTTGGGGGAGTCCCAACTGGGGAGAATTTCTGCACCTATGAGTCCGTTGCACATGTTTGTGTTGGCCAATGTGGCATTAGCACTCAAGGCAGCACCTGATAAACAAGAGAAGCTGCTGTTCCTTTGGAGGATAGGTTCTGGATTATGGGTTTCACAACCACTGCCATTGCATTGGTAGCCAAAACTTACCTTCAGTTCCCCTTCAGTCTGCAAACCGCTTGATCCTCGCATTATTCAAGACTGCAGTTGGAGAAGAAATGCAGAAGTAAGTTAAAAAGAAAATTTTATCACGAATTATAATCACATCAAGTAATTTAAGCAGTATATAGGGAATGAGAATATTGTAACACTATGCCTTGGTCCATTGAAGTCTGCAGGAGAAGAATGACCCAAAAGGGGGGGAAAACTCTCAGATATAGTTCTCCATACAGATCAGCCAGAGATTGCCATATTAAGCCTAAGAAAGTGATTGGAAACTGGGATCTCTCTCTCTCTCTCTCAGAATAGCATTGACCTCATGAACAATATGCAGTGATCAGAAGTTCAATAAGGTAAACTAAAACAGATCTCAAATATGCAGACAAGGAAGAAGGAAAAATGCAAATCTTAGATAGATTAATCAACCCACTACTTCCTGATGCAAATTCCAACTATTCATTGATCTAGCCATATATCTGAGTTCTCAGGTTCCAAAGAAAGGATAAGATAAGACAACGATAAGATAAGGCATTATCACTGGCAAATAGAAACCCTCATTGATAATATCACCATCTCAATGGTTTCCAATTACACACGAATCGGAGTTTCTGGCGAAAACCCAGTTCAGGAATCACTCAAATACAACGTATGCAATGTACAGTTGGAATGAAACAGGGCCAGTTATTTTCCAGCCTGAGCTCAACTATTTTTTGCCAAGCCGATGAATTCACTTCAATTCAGGACAGAAAACAATAACAAATTTACATCGCTACACGATTTGGAATTCAAGTTAAATGTAAGCTAGAGATAGAGAGTTGACAAACCACTACTGAGCCGGTCGATGAAACCCAGAACCGAAATAGGCGAATGTGACTTGGGAGACGAAGGAAAAACTGAAGCAGGGGGAAATGGCGATATGGGTTCGCTACAGAGCGAGGGAAAGTGTGAAGCTTTCGTTCCAGGAAAACCAACAAGAAAGAAGTTAGCTCCAAAACAAAACCAGAAAGCAAAAGCAGAGGAAAACGGACGAAGAACAGATTTCTTTTTCTTCTGTTTCTGTTGAGACTTGAGAGTCCGTTTCGCAGCAAGAAGTGGAGAATCTATATGAGAAATAGAACCCCGAAGTGTGTTCTTTTCTTCTTCTTCTTCCTTCTTTTTACGCAGAGACAATTGGATGGTGGAGAAGGGTCTCTGCCAATATTAGCTTGCAACCAAGAAAATTCCGTTTCTTTAATAATTTCTCACTTGAGATTTTCACTCAGCTGCCAACCAGCCAAACACTTTTGACGAATCAAATCTGTAAGGGCAAA